ATCTTTCCATTCCTATCTTCACATCTCACCTGTCTATTAATATGGCCACTATCTTAAAGCCCTCACTGCTTCTGGCTCCAGCTGTTGCAGTGGCCTCCTAACTGGTCTCCCTGTCTCAAGTTTCTCACTGCTAGTCCATTCTCCACATGCTGTTAGTGATTTTTTTTTCCCCTTAAGTGTGGATCTAACCACGTTACTTCCCTTTTCATTTTTTGTTTGTTTTTTTTGCTAAGCAATGGGGTTAAATGACTTGGCCAGGGTCACACAGCTAGTAAGTGTCAAGTGTCTGAGGCTGGATTTGAACTCAGATCCTCCTAACTCCAAGGCCAGAGCTCTATCCACTGCACCACATAGCTGCCCCTATTACTTCTCTTTATAACCAGCTCCTCTGTTTCAAAGCCCTTTACAACCTTTGCCCAACCTATCTTCAGCCTCCTTGTATCTTCCTCCCCTTCCCACCCTCTGTAATAGAGTCAAACTGGCCTCATTGTTCCTCACACCCGTCATTCTATATCCCATCTCTGGGCCTTTGTGCTGCTCAGGGCCTGTTCCTGGAATATACTCTTTCATCTATTTAAAGGCAACTCAGGTACCACTTTGTACATGAAGAGTTTCTTAAACACCCCCGCTACCAATAGCTTCCTTTCCTAACTACCTTCTTGAGCGTTGAGTGTTGTGTTGGGGAGGGGCACCTTCTTAGTTTCATCCCAGATCCCAGCATCACAGAAGCTTCAAAAGATTTCTGTCACCATATAGGCTGAGCCCCTGATTCCACAGAGCAATTCTTTACGTTATTCAAGTATGCCAATACTCTCCATTTTGTAGCACAAGTATGGGATGAATTGTTGTCGGAGCATAATTAATTTTAGTTCTGCCTCCTCCCTTCCCCCCCCCCAAAAAAAGATTTTTAGGGTCTGTTTTTCCTTACCTTTTCCAGTTTGCCCCACAACAGACTTCTGGCATAAAAACGTCTAACTTCCATGTGTCTCTTGGTAGAGGAAACTGTCCCCTTTTACAAACCTTTTTTAAACTTAGGCTAGAAGAAGAAGAAAAACTATTAAATGCTGAAAGTTACTACAAGAAAGCTTTGGCTTTGGATGAGACTTTTAAAGAAGCAGAGGACGCATTATCGAAGCTTCACAGGCATATGCAGGTGATTCTTTATTTTCCCTTAAACAATTACTGACAGTAATTAACTTAGAACCAAAATTTTGATTAAACTTCCTTCTGAATTTAGAAAATGAGGCCATTCCCAAAACTGCTGCTTCTTTCTTACAGATGTTATTGTTTTAGGCCCTGTCCCTTTTTGTAGTGTGAAACTAAATTGATGTTGACTCGTGCTTACCTGATTTTCAGTGTTAAGAAGCAGAAAGTATTTTAAATATGCGTTCACAAATCAAGAATTCAGATTGCCCAAATGTACTGTGGAGTTTTGAAGACTACTAGTGGCTTGTTTACAAAATAAGTTGATAAATAGCTGAACCCTCTCTTTACCAGTGGTGCTGTTATTTTAGTTATTTTGATGATTCTAAAATACTTGTAAATCATAAATTTAAATAAGTAGTTGAGACTGCATTTTCCTGTAATACTGATGATGATGTTTTCTCATATGCATTTTCTTCTGAATTGGACCGTTGCTGCTGTGTCTGTGACATCTGGTGCTGCTCATCCCCAACCACAAACTGGAAAATGATTTCTTATGTAAATCATGCATCCAACTGGGCTGCGATATTTTTTTAAATGGTTTGTATCCAAACATGGCAAATCCACTCTAAATACATTTTTATTGGAATCCCTTTATTTGGATTATAAAAAATGCATGTGACTCAATTTAATCCACCTTTTTTTCTTTTTTGATCATTTTTCTTGTCTTTTCTCATCTGTTCTATTTGGTCTTCCTGTTTCACTGCCCTGGGTCATGGGTACCAATGCAATGGTTTCCCTTTTTTAATGGAATACCAACTGCAATATGGCCTTCAATCCTGTACTGGTCATCCTGATGATTAATGCCAAATACCTCTGTGATAAATTTTTCATGTTTAAAAACCCACTTATTTGATGTTGGAAATATGGTGATGTTGGTATGTTATTTTTGGTAATGGGGGGCTGATCTTGTGAAATACTGGGGCTCATATATTCTGCTATGTTTAATGTGTGGTTTTTTTTGATATCTGGGTTCTAAAAGAAATCTTTGGAATTAAGAGAAAAACAAGCTGAAAAAGAAGAAAAGCAGAAATCAAAGAAAATAGAAACAAGTGCAGAAAAATTGCGTAAGCTCTTAAAAGAGGAAAAAAGGTAAACCCATAACATTCCATTTTTTTCAATTAGTGTCTACTGAGTTGAGTTCAAACACCATATAGCAATAAAGTAAGTAAATAAATGCTACCCTTAGTAATTAAGAGGAGTTACTGGCATTTTTGCTGATTTCAGGAATATGTAGTATAATTCATTGCCTTCCCTATAGTATGGTTACATAAGCCATACCCAAAGGGTATCATAAATAGTAAATACTCAGTTGTCCATTGGGACACCTATCTCATTTACTAAGCTAAATTATAAATTAAAATCTTAAATTGCTTGATTATTGGGAATATTTTTATACATAGTGGGCTTCCTACATATAAGGAGCATGTTTAAAACTCCTCTAATTTGCACTAAGATGGAGTCATTTTAGCATACTTTCTTTTTTATTTGTTTGGGGTGGGGGAGGACTAATAAAATTTTAAGATTAAGCTGAGTACACTCTGGTTCTTTGGTTTCAGAGTAGAATACAGAACTGAAAAGTATTTGCAGAATTGAAGTAGAAGGGTCCACTTATTTTAACCATATGTTTATTTTAGGCAAAAAAAAAATTCTAGCCTTGTTATTTCCTAGATAAATCTCTGGGTGCCCTGACAGTGTGAAATGTCAAGGGTGGATGAGCAATTGTCTTGGCTTTTGTGCATCTCCTTGAAAAGGGACAGTTTTATGCCAGAAGTCGAGAAGGGGTTCTCTGAGCAATATCGGGGCTTCACGAATTACCTACATTTTTTAGGTTAAAGAAGAAAAGAAAAAGATCTACTTCCTCCTCTTCAAGTATTTCTTCAGCTGACCAGGTGGTTTCTTCTTCATCATCCTCTTCCTCTTCTGGTCACAAAAAGCATAAGAAAAGGAAGAGGAACCGTTCAGAGTCCTCTCGAAATTCCAAAAGGCATTCCTCCAAGGCTTCTTCACATCTTCCAGATCAGAATAGGAAAGAGGAGAGCTACCCACTTCCAGCCAATACCTCAGCATCCTTTCTTAACCAAAAACAAGAGATGGAAAAACTGCTAGAAAATCAGGGTAGAGTAAAAGAAAGAGAAAGAGGTAACACTCAGTCATCATCTTCAGCTGAAATTCCGGATAATTTTGGAGGTAGGTCTGAAGATTCAAGGGATTTTTATAATAGCTCTAGAACTCAGGCAAGTAGTAGCAAAACTGAAAAGCCGTGTAAACCAGACAGATACTATTCCAGTAAACGAGATTTCTCTGGCTCCTTCAGTAGAAATTCAGATGAAAAAACAAAAAATTTTAATAGAAAATTTGAAAAAGGAGCAGAGGGAAGAAAAGAACATTATAGAAAGTGGGAGCCAGGCTCAATGAGATATTCTGCTTCTCCAGCAGGATTGGACTGTTCATGGAAGTCTGTTGAAAAAAGCAAAAAATATGCAAATACTGGATTACATGATTTTAGTAGAAATGATGAAGAGCAAAGATCACAATTAAATACAAATCAAAAGAAAGAATCTGAAAATAGGGAAGAAAATTATGGAGATGAGATAGCAGAGGATCTTGAAGAAGATGCATTAAATGGTAAAGAGCGAGCAGAAAGCAATGTTAAGAAAAATCTTCCTCAGAATTTGCTCACGATATTTAATCAGATTGCTGAATTTGAAAAAGAAAAAGGAAATAAACAGAAAAACTGAGTAGGTGCCAAAGAAATAGTCTCATGTCCCTTAAGCCATGAAGGTGTTTTTAATCTCCACTGTCCTTTATGCAGACTTCAGAGAACACACACACTGGCATTTTTCTGTTTAAACTATACTGACTTCTGTGTAGTGTCCTCTTCCTAGCTAGGTTATTGATCATAAGCAGGATTTTAATCTGTAATAGAAGTACAAACATCATTTCTTAGAAAAGAATAAGGTGATTCAGTTAAGTTTGTTTACTTGAAGATGTTCCCATATGATCAGAACTGATCTTTTTGTATGACATTTTACCGTATTTCTTTGCTAACCTCCTAAGAGAAGTAGCCTTTTGGTTAGGTTGAGAGAAAATTAGATTTGCACTTTAAAGATTCAGGCCAAGTTTACTAAAAACTGATGATTCTATTGTCATTTTTCTGTTGTTAAATGGAACTGAGCCTTGAGCTTCTGAAAGGGTTTACAGAATGGAACGTCCCAGATGTACCGTTCTGTATCTGTAAAGAGTTGTTTTAAATGTTAAATTTTATTAAAAACTCAAATAGCTTCATTTGTATTGGCAGGACATTGGTCTCGTTTCTGTCTTCATTTGAGTTACTCCTGTTGGAAAAAAGATTTCATAGAAGCACCTTTATGAACAAAAAAGCATGTGACACATACCACACCAGACTGTGATTCTAGTTACTTTTAATCATCATACTGTTTAAAGGTTCCTTGGTAGTTTGTTTTTTGGGGTTTTGTTTATTTTGGTTTTTTTACCTAAAGCCTGTTACTTAGCTTGATCAATTTGCTAGCCAGACTTGGCTCTGGGTGGCTCTCATCTGTTTACTCTTAAGATACAAAGATTTTCTACCTGCGAGGACCTTCAAAAGATTCTGTTTGCAGTGTTCCACATTAATGGGATTAAGGCAGCTCCTTCAGGGCCTGCTTTGAACCTGCCTGGAACGTGGTGACAAAAGGGTCTTGTAGGTTAAAAAGTAAAGGTCTTGAATTATACTTCATATACTGGTTTTCTAAAGGTGCAGAGACAAATTCTCATTCACAGATTATATGCCATAATAAGTATTAACCAAGAAAATCTTTATTGAATCTGACCTTCCTTCTCCCATCACAGCATCCAAAGAATTACATGTTTTTTCATCTAAGCTTCACAAAAAGTATTTATTCTACTCTCTTGCAAATGTAAAATTTCATAAGTACAGGGTAAATTAAATTATGCATTTTTGCCAAAACAGTTCCCCATCCTATCTGGTACATGATCACTAATATCACACTCTTCTTAAGTTGAATTCTTTTCATTTTGTTTTCTTCTCATCACAGTGCAATATGAATCTTGCTTTTCAGACACTTGACAAATTACAATTTTCTCTCCCATTGAGATTGCTAAGCATAGCAAAATTTAATGTAATTTAATTGCATAAATATAAGATTTGAACAAAGTGAAATGCAAAAGTTTCTTTACAAAATAAATTTTGTAATTAGGATTCATTTAAAAGACTAGGTTTGAGCCCTTCAATCACTAGGGCACTTTGAAGAGTTGGACACTTTTTTAAGAGTTAAAAATTAATTTTAAAAATGGATACCCGTAAAAGTAGTAATGTGGTGTGCCAACCGCCCATGATGGAGAAGTTCCTTCAACAAGTATTACTTGTTGCAGACTAGGAAAAGGGAAGCTCAGGTATGGGCTATCCCAGAGATCCTTGCAGAGTTTAAGGGCTTTTGAGCCTTAAAGCTACTGAGGCTTAAAACTGCTCTAAGACTTTGGGGGTAACCTGTACACTGTCTATTCTCTTTCAGAGTTTTGAGAAGTCTTTCAGATCCCTAATAGATTGAATGACTAGTCTTAAAACACATCATCTTCCTGGTGGTAGAATTTTTTTTTCATAGTTTACATCAAAAGCACAATTATTTAACAATGAGCATGCACTCTTCTAATACAACTCCTCCTTACTGTATTAAGGTAGGAGACAGGAAATTGCTTACGAAGTACAACCTTACTGTGAGAATATGAAAATACTTTACACCATTTCCTTCTAAGACAAAATAAGGGAGAAAACACTTTAGAAAAATGGTTTGTTTTTTACTTGAGTGATTTTTGTTCATTTTTATTATATATTTTTCCTAAGTAAAACTTGTTTGGTCACTTATAATTTCCAACAGTAGCATAATATATATTTTTGTAGACTAATATACAATAATTAAGTACAGACTTCACCTACATTTTGTTTAACATTCAAAAACATCATTAAATGTAAATTCATCCTGGAGCTAAAAAAATGTCACTTTAGGCTTTTATCACTACTGGAGCTAGCTGGACTGACTGAACCCACTGGTGAAGAGATTTCCAAGCCCAGCTGCACAACTTTGGGTTTAACCGAGGCTCCACTCTTCGTCGACCTAGGAGATAAATCAGAATTAGTGAAAAATAATTATTTTTAGAACAAATCCCTTATCAAGTCCTAAAAGATTGAGTAGAAGAAGCCTTCGTTTATTTAGGAGTCAGATTCCTGGCAACATCAATCACAGAAATAGCTTGTAGTGAGAAGCAAACTTCTGGACAGTGAGAAAAACAATACCTACAGGATCCTGTGGCCTAAAATCATACAGAAGTGAGTCCGGGATAGATGGGAAGCTTGCAGAAATGAACTTCTGAAACAAAGAGATTCTGATGAATAGGGGTGGGATTATCTTCTAAAGAGTATGCATGCAGTGAGCTCATCAGCTGACTCAAGGTGTACAGAGGATGGAAACGTGATGAAAAGAAAGGATACATACACAGGCTAGGCATATTCCTGCTGGGATAGTGTCAGGCCCTCAGTGAGGGCTTGTCTTAAACATGGTGGGAAGAGATCAAAGAAGGGAGAGGCCTCCTAGAGCCTTGACTGCTGAGAACAAAGCAGGACAGATGTGTAACTACTTCTGCCTTCCATGCCAAGGAGAAGCTTGACTGGAAAGAACAGAAGGAAAATAGGCCCAATGAGGAGTTAAGACACAAAATATGTCAGGATGTAGCAAGGGCGTACCTGAATGCTCTGACCAGAAGGGATTAAGTTAGAGGAAGAAGGAATAGCAAATGTGATTACAAACCACTCTGGCTGATCTTTGAGAGGTCACCAGAAGCATTAGAATTCAAAGGCAAATGTCTCAGTTTTCACATATATGGCATCCCATATCCTGGTTATGCCTTATGCCTAGAGTAGACTCCTGCTTTACTTCTACCTCTTAGAATCCTTTGTTTTCTCAAAACTGCTCATGTGAGACCTTTTCTGGCCCCTGCTTCTGGTGCTTCTCCCTTCCCTTCAGAAAAATAACCATTGTTTTATACACTCATACATCTCTTTTGAGGGCAGACACTGTTCCATTTTGGCCTTTGTATCCCTCAGTGTCTAGCATAGCACCTAAACATAGGCATTCTGGGAGCTCCAATTCTCTGAGGGCCCTTCCAGCTGGGACAGTCCCAGGAACCATGACTGTATCTACTCCTTCACAAAATACAATGACATCATTGTCAACAACACTAGAGTCATCTGTGGTAACTTGTATTTACAGGCAGGTATTTTGCATCCCACCAGAATGGTTGCTTATCACTTTCCTTTGTGAGCAATGAGAAGCCAAAGCTGCTTTCTAGTGGGCTGCATAAACTGTTGAGAACCTTGGCTTGCGGCAGTTTCTTTGCTTGACAGTCTGCTTTAGTAGTAGGCAACACTGGCCTGCTTGCTGTTGTCCTACACAGTACTCCACCTCTTAACACTGCCTTGTCACTGGCTGGACCTGGAATGCTCCCCTTCCCTACCTCCATCTTCTGGCTTCCTTGAAGACTCGGTGCCGATCATACCTTCTGCAACAGACCTTTCCGAGGGGTCTCCCACCATCCCCCTACTGCTAATACCTTCCCTCTGATATTACCTCGAATTTACACTACGTATTTTGTAATTGTTGGCATGTTCTCTGTCCCATCAGATATCTTCTGCTTTTCTTTGTATTCCCAGCCCTTAGTACAGTGCCTGACACATAGTAAGCACTTAATGAATGCTTATTAACTAACTGATCACCTTCCCTGGATTCAACTATCATTTCTATACGTGCCTCCCAAGATGGATACACTCAGCCATCATCTCTTTCCTGTGCTCCAGTCCTCCATCACCATAATTGGTTGGACATCGTATGGATATCCCGTGGGTATCTAAACTCAGCTTGTCCAAAAGAGAACTCTATCCTACCCATTCCATGCCCCCCAAAACCTACCCCTTCTCCAAACTTCTATTTTGTGGGTTCAGTGATCCGGGTTACCTACTTTACAGCCTTGTACATTGATACTACATGTCCAGGTTTACAATCTTGGACTCCTCCATCACCAGTCCCTTGCCAAGTTTTGTCAGTTCTGCCTCCACAATGTTTTTTCCATCCATCCCTTTCTTCATTTACAGTCAAACCACCCTCATTTAATACTTAATCACCTCTCCTCCAGAGTATTATAAGGGCCTCCCTGGGCATCCAGCTTCTAGTCTCTCTAATTCATCATCCTCAGAAATGTTGAAATAATCTCCCTAAAGCACAAGTCTGATGATTGTTTTTTTGCTCAGTGAGTCTTCCTACTATTTAAAGAATAAAATACAAGCTTTTTAGTGTGGTGTTTAAAGCCATTAATAATCTGACACCAATCTACCTTTCTAGGTTTATTTCACATTACTGCTCTTCATATACCTGACATTCCAGCCAAAGTGGTCGGCAAACCCTCACCTGATTTCTGTGTTTCTGCACAGGCTCAAAAGACTTCAAAAGTACAAATATGGGGAGGTATGGCTCCCAAGCAGTTGGCTTGGGAAAGATCTGGGAATTTTGTTGTATTGCAAGCTCAACAGGACCCAAACGTGTGGCATACCAGCCAAGAAAGTTAACCAGATCTTGGGCTGCATTTAGAAACATGAATAGCTTCTAGGTGATGACTCCAGGTATACCCAACCTGGATTCACCTCTAAAGTATTAAGAGACATGTCCATCAGGTAGGGAATGATTGAATAAATTATGGTATATATGATATGCCATGTCATATATCATGATATATATGTTAGAAATTAAAACGGGGATGTTTTTAGAAAAACCTGGGAAAACCTATGAACTGAAGCAAAGTGAGCAGAACCAGGAGAACATTGTACACAGTAACATTAATACTGTAAGGATGCTCATCTATGAAAGACTTAGCCACTCTGATCAATACAATGATCCAAGAACATTCCAAAGGGCCCATGATAAAAAATGCTACCCACCTCCAGATAGAGGGCTCATGGACTCAGAGTGCAGACTGACATGTTTCCTTTTTTTTTTTTTCCCAGAACATGATTAATATGGAAATTTGTTTTGCATGACTTGATATTTGTAATGAGTATTGTATTTCTTGCCTTGTTGAATGGGGAGGGGAAAAAGTCCTGGAGACAGTTCTGGGCACCACAGTTTGGGAAGAATATTGACAAGCTGGAGCTCATCCAAAGGACAGTAACCCAAATGGTGATGGGTCTCTAATCCGTGACAAATGAGAAACTGACATAACTGGGGATGTTTAGCCTGAAAAGGTTGTTTGCAGGGGAGGGAAGATCTTCAATTATTTTGTGGGCTGTCATGTAAAAGAGGACTTGTTCTGCTTGGCCCCAGGAAGTAGTAGGAGTAATGGGTAGAGACTACAAATAAGCAGATTTAGGCCTATCCCAAAGTGGAATAGGCAACCTTGCAAGGCTGGGAGGTTCTAATCAGAGAGGTAGTGCAATGATGGGTAACCATGACTGCTGTGGGGTAGCTGAGTTGATATAACCATTAAGGATACTGATGAACTGAAAGGCCATGTCATATGAATGAGGCATGTTTGTGAGGGTCTGCAAGGATACAGGAAGAGCAAGAGGCAGGTGTGGAAGAAAAGACAACAGAACAGGTACGGAGCTTTAAAAATTAGAGGGTAATCTGTTGTATCATGGTAACAAGCATCTAGATTGTGGGATACAAGTGGATGGAGTGTGCTTCATAGGAAGAAAAGTTGTAAAGTGATCATGTTAGAGGAAGGGACAGTAAGCCTCAAGAAGTATGATTTTTCCAACTGTTGTCATATGTTAAGAGGGAGAGACAAGCCTTGTGTTAAGTGCTGGAGATAAACAAATTTTAAAAACTAGTTATTCGTTCCTCTCAGTGAGCTTACATTCTAACAAGAAAACATTAACATGAAGAGGAACTGAAACTCAGAGAAGGGCAAGGAAGCTAGCTAGTGGGGAGTTGAAGCATTCTTTGAGCTGAGAGTAAAATGAACAATCTGTGCTGGAAAGGGTGGTCAGAGATGTGGTATCTTCTAGAGAAAGCCAGGTCAGAGATGTGGTATCTTCTAGAGAAAGCCAGGTATCCATGAATACCAGAAAATGGAAAAGGGTATAAGATGAATAGGATATTTATGTATACATATATATGTGTGTGTGCATATTTTTTTATTAGAGCAGAGTGCAGAAGGCATAATGGAACAGGATGGGTGAAGACAGTCTTTCCAGAGAGAAGACAGGTGGATAGAAATGAAGGTAGGAGTAGAGATGGCAAGAGGAAATGCTTATAACTTTGGCAGAAAATTACACAGTTATAGGATAGTGGGAAAAAAAGTTGATTTGGAACTTCACCCTTCAAGGTCCTGTGATGACTGAAAATGCTATTAATATAGTGGCATTAGCTAGTGACTTCTTAATCCAAACATTAGGAACTGGTACTAAGTGTTGGGGAAGTCAGATAAGAAAATGAGAGATCCCCCTTCCCCTTCCAGACTGAATTCATTCAGCACTAGCTCTAGAGTCTCATTCCAAGATGGAATGACATACACCTAGAAGGTATCCTGCATGAGGCCAGGCACTTGGATCCCAATCTGAGTCCCTGAAAGGAACTGGCCCCTTGTGACTTTTGTCATCCTGAGGCTCAGGATCTCCGATGGATCTATCAATAAAGACACTGATACTTAGTGACTTCAATTCAAAAATAGTTATGGAAGCCAATGGCAAAAAAAAAAAAAAAACAAAAACATGCTGCACAACATGTTCAAGACTGAAATCTGAAAAAGACCACAGACGTATCATTTACTCAGAAGCCTTAAAGCTAAAACCAACCAACCCTGAAGCTTCTATAACGTGATTACATTCTTCAAGAGGATGTTTTAAAGGCACGGGGTATGGTAAGCACCAAATCTCACCAAAGAATAAAGGTGCCTCTGTCTTAATACAGGAAAGCCAATTAATTATGTGGGAATTGTTTCCAAATCACTTGTCTGATCTGTGTGCCATCAAACCACTGATGATCAGATGGTTACAGTAGAATTCAAGGGCTATTACAAGAATCCTCATCTGACTTTTCAAATAAGCTACTGATGCTGAAAAGCCAAACAGATAAATGCAAGGACCTTGATACCTATCACCATTTCCCACAGAACTTTAACACATATAAGTGATCACCATAACAGGCAAAAAAAAAAGCTCAGAAACTGCCTCAGAAAAGGCTTTGTCTCCCAGCTAGAGTGATATAGCCAGGAAGGGCAACATGAGTTAGACCATAGGCTCATCTATAGATGATTACAAGCAACATTACCCTCGAAATCAGGGCAAACACATCTGCAAAAGGCTTGGCATCAGACCCAACTGAGCCTGAATATCCATCCCAGGAGCATTTCTAGATGAAAATGAAAGCACACAAACAGAAAGGAACCATTGCCCAGGTTTTTCTCTGGAGCTCCTAGCATTGATGTCAGGAAATCATTGCATTTGGACATAAAACTGAGAGTACCCAAGATGCTACCAGATGGAAATAGCATCCAAATGGTAAAGAAAGGAAAAGAGGATCATATCTGTAGCTCTACCCTTGCCCACAAAGAATTCCCATCCACGTGGAATGATTTCTAAAACGTGGAAATGTTTGAACCAATTGCTTGTTATGCCAGTGTGGGGACAAGGGCAATGATACTTATCTAAGAGGTAAAACCAAAAGAAGGATCAAAGCATAGTGTGTGGTTGTGGGACAGCTGTCTTTTGTATGAAGTGACAGATCAAAGACACTAGTGGTTCTAAATTTAACATTAGAAATACTGGTATTACCTTATTAGAAAAAGCACAGAAAAATTGGTTGCATTCCAATTGATAGTATTCTGGCTAACAGAATTAATTGCACCAAGAAACAATCACACTCAGAACTTTAATACATTCCCTTTCCAGTAAATGAGTGTCAGACATTAGGACAAACAAGCCAAGTGGCCAAAGTCTAAAAGCTCTTTTACGTTACAAAAAGCATCATCTGTGAGTATAGATGATATATGTGGATATGACCTTCCAAACCATACCACCTGGACTCCAGCCTCATTTTCCTCCTCATCCTCTTCCCACCAAATCTTTGGACTCTGTTCCTGGAGCTCCCCTGGGCTCTGCTAAGTGAGCTTTCCCATTATTTCCGCCAGAATCAGGTTTCCACATCCCGTCTGAGCCACTCCAAACCATGGCTTGGCAGCACACGCACCCTCTCACTTCGAGGGTCTCTTTACATATTGTCTTCTCCTGTTATAACATAAGCTCCTTGAGGGCACGGACTGCCTTGGCTTCTTATATTTGTATTCCTAGCGCTAGCACAGTGCCTGGCACATAGACACTTACTAAATGCTGACCAGTCGTTGAGTAACTCACTCTCTGGACTTATCCACCTCCTCACTTGTAGCCATCCACCCTGAGGCCTACTCTGGTGAATAACATCTAGTCCTAGACATGCTCACTTCATTCTTGGTTCAACTCACTTTCTGGCCTTCACCTCAGCAGCAGCAACCTAACCACCCCTGATTCTTCTCACAAGCTGAGGCTGACATACCATGACTGTGACAGGAGGAGCCCTACTGTAGATTTAGTTTCATAGCTTCTCCTTCCAGGCCCTAGAACATGTGCCTTCCTGCAGGGTCTAAAGGGGGATCCTCCCTGAGCCTGCTGCCCATCTCAACAGCCCCAGCAGCCAGTGACGCAGGCAGGGAGCTGAAAGGGAAAGTCTACTCCCATCCCCTACCCAATGGGATAGCTATGGTGGTATGCAAGGGAGCCTAGACTAGTCATAGAGTTTAACAGCATCAGTAGGAGCATTAAGACCCTCCACAATCAATTTTAGGATGTGGGAACATCACCACTCACCGTGCTGATAGTGAGCTCTGAGAAGAAGAACTAGATGCACGGCGGCTGATTGTAGTACTCGCTGTCGGTAGTTCCAAACCCACCTAGGAGAACATGGTATATTGCTCATTATGACTGGATTAGACAGGTTTTTATTTCACTGCGTATCAATCACTTCATGCCTGATGCTATGGAAAACATTTATGTTCATCTGCTATTCATTCTTTTTATCATAGGATTTAGAGGTGGATTGGAAGTAACTCGGGGATCTTGTCATCCAACCCCATTATTTAACAGATGATGGAACAAGGGCTATAGAAATTAAAGAACTTACCCAAGGTCCCATGTAGCAGCACTGGGATTTGAACCCAGGCCTCTCTACTCTAAAGCAAATGTTCTTTCCACTACACCACATTAATGCATTTATTGAAAACCCACTCATTATAATTCTACATAAATGAAGTGCTTAAGAGAAGGTATTACCTGTTGAAAGTATGTCTGGAAAATGCCAGATAATTCAGGATTTTCTAAGGTAGCCTCAACTAACAACTTGTCAATGGATTTGTTATAGTCTTTGATTTCTCGAAGACTGATATCATATTCTTCTATAGTCGGTTCTTCAGTTTTCCTTGCAAGACGGATTTCTTTGGTGAGTTTAGTACACTGTTTTGGGGGAAAGACACCATCACAGTTTGACTTGAGTCAACAGATGAGATTTTTTAAAGGTCATTTCAATTGTCAAATACATTTTCTCAAAAAATAACTATTCGGTTACTATTTGTCATTTCAGAAAGTATCAATTCTACTAAGACAAGTTTTAAAAGATGCCAATACCTGTCTCTTGACTCTCTCTATTTTGGGCTTCTGCTCTTCAGTGCCAGTGCTTAAGTCAATCACGTAAACCTGCTTCTTGGCAAACCTTTCTTTGCAATTGTTTATTAGATTTTTCAAGACTTCTAAAGTGTGTTCCATGTTCTGTGGGTTACAAAGTATTAATATGCCTTACAGGTAAATATGTTCAGTTCTTCAAATTGCATTTCTCTTATTTTAGGTGGTATTATGTGCATTATGAGAGAACAGTAAAGCTTCCCTGACTTCTTTCAACTCAGATCAAATCCTACCTTCTACAGGGGAGTTTCCCTAATCACCTCACTGCTATTCCCTTCCCTCTAAAATTACTTTCCACTTACATTGTGTTTATCTTATATTTACGTCATTATTTGTAATTTGTTTCTCCCATCAGCATGTGCGCTCCCCAAAGGCAAAGACCATGCTTTTGCCTTTCTTTGTATCCCCAGTGCTTAGCACACTTCCTGGCACATAAGAAATGTTTGTTGACTGATTGACTAAAGCAGGAAGAGCACTGGCTTTGAAATTAAGGGATCTGAGTTCAAATCCTGCCTTGACCACTTACATCTATATGACCTCAGGCACGTCCTAATCCTTACTTTCTTCATCTGTAAACTAAAGGGGTTAGAGCAAATGGCCCGTGAAGTCCCTTCCAGATCAAGTCTAAGATCATATGAACTTTGATTATGTGAAGGGAAAATGGGCCCGTATAAAACTCTTTAGGAGTTGTTTTTTGGTTTCTGTTTCTCTTTTTTTCTGACTAGATCTGGACTTCACCGGTGTCAGGAGTTCCGTGGTGAGAAAATCCCCTTCACCAATACTATTCAGCAGCTTCTACTCTAAATTTAGAGTTGTATTGCACAGCCATGGCAGAGACGGGGCTTGACTCAGCTGTTCCTGCCGCTAAGACCAGCTCTGTATTCACTACCCAATGCTTTCTGCTGCTTGAAAATCCAGAATGTTTTTCACAGATGTTGATAAAAACAATGCACGTTAGATAAACCCCCTTATCCAGATCTTCCTTCACACACTCTCAACTCCAGCCACACCCTCTTCCGGGCCTTCGGCCCTAAACCAGGAATGCTCGTCCTCCTCACCTCCTCCTCAGGGGACTCACCTCTCTTCCTCTTTCAAGCTCACCTCTAGTTCCATCTCTTTGAAAAGGCCTTAACTAATTCACCCAGGCATTAATGACCCCCCCCATCCCACTCTAAAGCAAAACAAAACAAAAAAAATCATTGTATATTTAACTGTTAACAAACGATCCCACATTCCATTTGTTATCTTATCCTTTAGCTTTATTCTTAGTCTAGGCTGGTATCTGTATTTTTGCATGGTCATAGTTACCCTGAGGAAGATCTGAGAAGGGCACTGGCAGGCTTTCAAAAATAGTGTTCTCCAGCGGACCCCCCCCCCCCCTTTAACTATCACACAATTGACTCAAACAACATCCTACTATGTTTAACACTTGTTAGCTATTTTAAAAGTCATTATTCATTGGAGCAAAATTCTATGTGGAAGGTTTTCCTCTCAAAAGGATGCAACAAGATGCAACCAGAGAGACAATTTTGTTCAGTGACCCTCTGATTGGAAACGTCAAATGTATGCAGGGATGAAATCTCCCCCAAAGCATTTACAATTCTCCCAGAGGCACTATTCTGAGAGCTAGATTAGAAAAGCATCACAAAAAGGATGTTGGTATGGACAATAATGGGTCTTTACTTCAGTGAGAATAATGACTAAGGCCACATTAAAAGCCCTTTACAATTACCTGAAGGCAATCCAGCCTACTCTACTCCTCATATTCAATTCTGGGTCCAGCATGTTGTCGGTCTGTGGTGTCTATCCAAGATATAGATCTCCAGAGTGTCCATCCTTCCACATTCCACCATCTCAACAAGAGGCATTCTTCATCCAATTAGTTTTTCTTGTGTGGATAGTTGGGCCAAACTCTTTTGAGCGACTATGGATCTCATCCTTTCCAGCTCTAAATTTATGATCCCCCATGAAAGTGAAAACATCTCTCAGAAGCCTTGGCCCGGGGGTGGGGAATCTGTAGCCTCAAGGCCACACGTGTGTGACCTGCTAGGTCCTTGAGAGCAGCCTTTTGACCAAGTCCAAGTTTTACAGAACAAATCCTTTTATTAAGGGGATTTGTTCTGTGAAGTTTGGAGTCAGAGGGCCACACTTGAGGACCTGGAGGACCACATGTGGTCTCGAGGCCACAGGTTCCCCACCCCTGCCTTGGCCTGTTTATGGCCTTTAAGGATATGTGCTGCCTTTGAACTTCTGCAGAGACTTTTTTTTGTTATTCAGTCACACCAACAAGCACATCCTTCTTTCCCCTGGGTACATTGAGCTCTGTCCTTGGCCCTCCTATGAACCAACATCCTGACACACATCACTATGTCTGCCCAGACCTGTGAGGACAACTCATCATGAAGAGGCATAGTGTGTACGTAGGCACTGTAGCCAAAATGGATCCAGGCCACACGACGACTCGAGGACCATTTTTTATTCATTCATTCCCTATCACTCTGTCATCCTAGTGAAAGGCAGCAAGGAAGAGTGCAGAAAGAACACTGGATTTGCAGTCAGAGTATCTTATTCCAAATCCCATAAATGCCATCTGGCCTTGAGCAAAGCACTTTCTCTCTATAGTCCAGAGTATGCTCATCTGAAAAATGACTGCCCAAAAAAGGGAATCAAGAGAATATTAGTAACTGTGGGCCTCTGTCCTTACTTTCTCATGTTTATAAAAATTTTAGAGGAAAGATGTACATAACACCTATGATGAAAATATGAAAAGGAAAGCCAGAAAATACACTAAGGAAAGGTTACATCTTCAGTCACACAACTGAGAATTACAGAGAATGAACAATCCTGCTGTGTGCATTACATGCTAATTACAAAAGGGTATTTATTTCACTCAGTAAAAGGCTCTCCTCCCAAGGGGGTCATTCATATGTATGTGAAGGTTGTACATGATTCCTTGTTAAATGAGAATCTAGAGATAACTCCATTCAATGACCCTCTTAACAGCAAAAGAATCATAAAACAAAGAGATGTGTGCACACCCCAACTGTTCACCACAATAATGGAGGATCCATAGTGTAAGTTTGAGGTGGAAGATTATAGGTGATGAAGTCCCCCAGATTCTCCTGTTTGCAAATGATATCATGTTTGATGCAATCAGCACGTCCCCAAACATTGACAGGGCCTCCAAGATCCATGACTGTCTGAAAAAAAATTGGCCTAAAAATGTCTACGGGAAAAATTAAATGGATAAAAACTTCTGCTTTCCAGACTACGGCATACAATTGGATGCCCAGTTCACTGCTTTAGTCCACCAGTGTATTTATTTGGAACAAGCTCTTCAGATGAACATGAAATTGGGCCCAGAATTAAGACAGAGAGTGAGCTAAATTGAATTTTGGGAAGTTGTGTAATTACTTCAATGACTTCAAGCTGCTCCCCAGTGTAAAACTCTACTTTTTAAAACACATGATGCATTGTGGTTATAAATCTGGGAATACCACAATTTCTGAAGAATCAAGTTGCAGGGGAGCTAAAGGGTCACGAGGGAAAGAATAGTGGGCACTCATAGGTGGTGGTGTATTTCTGTTGGTGACCAAAGTGGGTGGCCCTGAAAAAAATGTAGAAACTGAAAGGCAAGCGGAGCAAGAAGTAATACAAGAGATGGACAGCCCAAGTGCTCCACTGGGAACCATGGAATGGAAGTAGACACAGAGGACAACATGCTGGACCCAGAATTGAATATGAGGAGTAGAGTAGACTATGTATCTATGTATCTCTAGCCCAATGGGTGGGTCCACCATGTAGGATTAATGGACAAGAATTGCACAGGGTCAGAAGTCTTAGATGGGTTTCCATCCACACCAGAAATGCTCCACATCAATAAAGCCACAAATCCATTGATCTACTGAAGGGGGGGGAGCGGGGAACAGAAGATGTGTTTGCTGAAAGAATTGCAAGCAGGGTGGGGCAAAGAGCATGCTCAACTACCACCAAAAGTGGAGTTGGACTGATACTTACTAGCCATGTAACCATGGCCAAATATGATTGAACATTTCTCAGCTTTGGTTTCCTCTTTTGCAAAATGGGGACCAAAAATACCTGGAGTGTCTGTAAAATGAGGATGCTGGGCACAGTAACCAGGTCCCGGGACTTCTGTAGAGAAAGTGTCTTGAAAACCATAAAACACTGCAAACGGGAATCACCGCTGTTGTCCTTTACCTGGATATCCTCCTGAAGTTCCCTGATTTGTCTCCGCTTGTATCTGTATTTTTCATCCACATTTCTTTTTTGTTCTTCCAATTTAATTTTCATTTCATATTCAGTACCTATAATTCAAAGGACTTTAGATGATTGGACAAAGCTTTTGAGCACTGGCTAGACAAAGCAGACAGACTTTACATAGGATGCTCAAAGTATTTACGAAGTTACTCCCTAACCCATCCACTTACAAGCAGTCCTCTCAGAGGCATATCCTGATCTCCTGACCCAACGTGTTGTGATCATTCCCTGCCTTCCCAACCCTCCCTTGCCTCCATACTGCTTCTAGGATAAAGTATCTACTCCTTTGCTGTGTAAGATCTCCCCCCCATGCCCCACTGCCCCGCCCTGGTCTGGCTCCAATTTATCTCTCCAAAATTAGCTCACGCTGCTTTTTGTCCTTTGTTCTAAATGCTGGCCTGCTGGCCATCTCCAAGACTCAACATTCAGTCTCCTAGCACAGTGTCTGTGCACGAGCTGTTTCATCCCCCTGGAATGCACTCTAACTTCCACTTCTTAGAATCTTTTACTTTCTGCAAAACTTAGTTTGTATGATACCGCCTACGAGCAGCCTTCCCAGATCCCTAGTTACTAATGTTCTCCCTCTCCTCCAGTTATCTTGCATTTACTTATCTGTTTATTCATTATACTATAAGATCTTTGAGGGCAGGGATGATTCATCTATGTATCTGAACTCCCAACCCCTACAACAGTACCTTACACATAGTAGGTGCCTAATAAATGCTTATCATACCCAGGACAACACAAGTTCTTTGAGGACAGGAACTATTGCATTTGACTATTGCAACCCCAATAGCTACTACAACCTGGGTCCTAATAGGCACTTAAATATCGGCTGCCTAAATTACTAAGTATTTTCAACACACGGAGAAGTCTCTCACACAGACATCATGGCACACACTGCCTTAGCCATCAAATGAATCCCGCACAGGAGGGGTGACTAGACAATAACAAAGACGGTTTTCTTGGGTCACTTCTGGACTCAGTGTCAGTACTCAAACCTTGTTGCTACTGTCCTCTAACACCACATCAAACAATATTCATGGATTTTGTTTTCATGTGTGAATGAAATGGATAGCCATGTTATATGAACAATAAGCTGAAGAAGGAGCCTAGGATCAGCATCAACCATGAAATGGCTTCAGAGTCCATAGTGAAGGAGGGAAGGGAGCGTCATGTGGCCCTGAAAGGACGCTGCTACCTTTATTTTATCATTCTCCACCAGCTTCCTAACTGGAACCTCAGGCCTGAATGACTCTAATCTGATCTTATTTTAAAATCCACTTTTAACCCATTTTCGGACTGGTAATCCATCGCTTCTCAAGGAACAATGATTAGAAAAACTTGTAACGACATCAGAAGTTAAGGCAGTGGTTTTGATTAGAAATAAATGGAAATAATAAGGTAATGGGTGGGGGGGAAGGGGATGGAGACTGATGGGGTGCCAGAGTCTTTGCCACAACACTGCCATTAGATACAAATGCATTATTAGAAAAAAGACACCATAAAGATCCTAGGTCAGCTATGAATAAGACTTTCCACTCATTATTCTGGTCCAGTCAAGTGGTGCTTGTTGGTGGAATGACTTAACCCTCTTGTTTATCTGGCAATGATTCATACCCAATTGATCTTATCTACAGCTTATTTGCACATAATTATTTGAATGTTGTCTCCCTGTTAGACTGTGAGCTCCTCAAAGTTAGGGGGTGTTGGTTTTTTTGCCTTTCTTTGCATCACCAGTGCTTAGCATGGGGTATGGCACATAGTAGGTGCTTCATATGATTCAGACTAACAGCACAGCAGCTTTCACTGCATGCAACTCATGAAAAAGCACAGAAGCCTGTTCCACGTACTGGTGGGAGTGATTTTCTTAAAGGACTGTTTGTAGTTGGAGTTACAGGTGTTCAGCACTCGCAGCGTGTTTTCTAGGGCGTAGATCTCTTTCTCGGCCTTGTGTATCTGGATATCCAGATTGTCACCTTCACGCTGAAGCTCTTCCTTGGTTTGTGCTGCCTGTGAAATACAGGAAGCGCTATGTCTGATCAAGCGATTGATACAAGGAAAAGTGACCTCTCTTTGAGAGACCATCATACCAACCCCGCCTTCCCCCGCAAGCTAGAAAGATTAAACCTCCAGATGTTGTAGACAAAGTCATCTCCAGGTGTGAAGATCCCCCTTTATTATTTTTTCCTAGTGGAAATTCATCCCGACCTAGTGAACTCTCTCCAATTCTATAAAGCCAGGGCTGACAAGCATTCTTCTGGGTGTTGACTTGACTTGGGATGATACGTGTGCGTTTGTTTATACAGGGATCTTTTTAACAAATGGTTTTCTCAACTGAAACCGAGTCGTTTCATTTTTTAGTGCTTGACCTTTTGCGGTTGTGCCAGGGTCTCTCTCACCAGTGGCCCCAACGCCTAGCACGATCCCAACCTCACTGTCCACCATGGGATATGTACACTGATCTATGGAGTCTGTACAAAAATGGAAATCCATCATCCCAGACAGAACATGAAGCAGCATTTCTAAATCAAGGACTATTGAGTACTGGCCCTTGGACCCTCAGATTAGAAACACTGATGTTAAAATAAAATTCTGACACCTACATGTCCATAACAATTTTTATTTCAATGTAGTCATTCCCTGTCCAACATTTTAAGTAATTTTCAAATATAACAATTTCATTAAATTTAGGTCAAAATAAGGCTAAACTCCCCTGTAAAACCAAAAGCTTACTTGGGGAGAAAACATCAATCTCTTATTGATGAGTCATCAATGAAACTGAGGCATGATGACTCGTTCAAAAAAAAAAAAAAGCCCAAAATGGGGAAAAGGAAGATGGTAGCCAAGAGTTTCTTGTTCTTCTCTCTCCTTCGCCCTTGAGATGTAGAAAAACTGTCCCCACCCCACATCTCCCCTGCTGTATCTCCTGCTTAGAGAGGAGCAGAGGGCTAGGAAGCAACACTGGGATACCACATCCTGTGTATGGAAAAGATGCAAGATCACGCCCCAACACGGAAAGGTCGGTAGATATTTTGTACTTCCTTATCTGTTTACCTGCTGTTCTGCCCCCTCACCCAGAAGAATTCAACCCTGAGAGCAGGGACTATTGAATTTTTGTCTTCATATACCCAATGGCAAACTTATGGAAAGAAATGGACTAGAGTCACTTTGGCTGGGCTGCATTCCAGAATGCATAACTAAAAGAAACATCCCCACTGTTGTGATCCCCAGCAGCTAGTATAGTACCTGGCACAAAGGGAATGTTGAGTATGTACTTTATTGAATAGAAGGTCCTGAATACTGGCTCCTCAGGATCAATCAATTCCCTCAAGTAACAACCTTGAGTACTTTGACAAGAGAAAGTAAGTCAGAAGATCTGGTTTTGAATCCAGGCTCTGCCAGGACCCTGAGCAAATCTCTGAGCCTGTTTCCTCCGCTGTAGAATAAGGGGTTTAGATTCAATGGTTGCCAAGGTCCCTTTATTTGATGATTGAGTGAGTCTATGACAATACCTTTATTACATAGTAGGCTTGCGTTTTTTCCTCTTCCCCTTCAGGAGGCATCATGACGACTGTAAGAAGTTCGTATCTGTTCTTCAGTTTATCAACATTACTTAGTCGGTCATGAAATTCAGCACTGATTTAAAGAGATTTGAAAAACTGACAATGATGAAGAGATCCTAAATATTTGTTTTATCTACAAAAGAGTACTTTGGTTTACCAAAAAAAAAAAATCCCAGAGAATCAGCATTTAATTGAGACAATCAATAGCTCTAATAAAGTACCAAGATACAAAATAGATCCATACAAATTTTCAGCACTTCTATATAACAGCAAAATTCAAAGGAAAGTGATTAAAATTAATACAAAATGCTTAAAATATTTAAGAGTCAATTTATCAAGGCACACTTAAAACTTTTATTAATATAATTACCTAACATCATTTGAAGAAATAATGACAAATTAATGGAGGAATATCCACTGCTCATGGTTGGGCTATACCAATATAATAAAAATGACTATTATCTAAAATAATAACAAATTTATTACTATATCAATCAAACTACCTTTAAGAGGGTACTTTGTAGAGCTAGACAAAACAATTCAAGAAAAAAAAGTCTAGAATCTCCAGGAAAATATTGTTTTTAAATGTAGAAATGAGCGAAGCACAGCATTTCCCAGTCCTCAAATTAGATTATAAAGCTGTAATCATCCAAACCATTGATAAACAAGCATCAGAAACAATCAAGTTCAATAAGCCACTTGAAAAATCAGAGAAAATAGACCAACAATAATGCCAGCTCACACTATTATAGCACTTTAAGGTTTACAAAGCATTTTACATCTATGATATCCATTGCTTCTTATAATAAACAACCCTGCGAGGAAAGTGCTACGATCATCCCTATTCTACAAATGAGACAAGTGAAGTGATCTGCCCAAGGTGACACAGCTGGAGAGTGTCAATGGAACTCAGGCCTTCCTGAGGCCCCCTCCAGCACCACAGCCACCACTCTGCCCAGTTTCTGTGAAGGGAAGAATTTCTAATCTGACAAGAACTACTGAGAAAACTGCAAAGGAGTTTGGCAGAAATTAGGCTTACACAAGCATCTCACATCATATGACAAATCAGCTCAAAATCGAGATGCTACCTGAATATATGTGTGTATATGTGTGTATATATATATATATACGTACATATATATGTGTATGTGTATATATATACATATATATCACAATATAAACAATTCAGAAGAGAACAAGATCAGGTACCTTTTGCTACTGTTGCTAGAAGAATAATCAGTGAGGGATGGCACTGATCAGAAAGGATAAAACAGATCATTTCTGTTACATGAAACTGAAGGGTTTTTGTATGAACTAGAGCAATACAGCTAGGACAAGAAGGGAAATCACCAAATGGGAAACCATTTTTGCATCCAACATCCCTGAGAGTTTGATATCCAGGATACATAGCAAATTGTAGTGTATGCTGTGCTGCAAACGTGCTTAGCAAGAGAATTGAGAAACAGAAGGAACTGGGGTAAGAGAGCCAGCACATGTGGGGCCCGACTAGGTCAGAAAGAAAAGCAAGCGCATCGTCAGAGAGACCAGTTCTGTCTCCCCAGAAGTCACCTGGGGTAAAGTCTGAGACCAGTAAAAAGTGAATTCTCCAGCATGGGGGGAGGCTGAGACAACAAGTTCATTAAAAGGAAAAAAAAGTAATTTTACAATGGAAATAGATATTTTTGTAGGTAATTAACCAAAAATTTCTTCAAGCCTAACTTTTTTCTTAATTTTTTAGTTAGCCTGTACTATGTTCAGGACCTACTAAACATCTCCAACTGGATGCCAGCTTAAACTCAGCATGTCCAAAACTGACCTCCTTGTCTCCCCCCAATCCCCTCCCTCTTCCTAACTTCCTGCCATCTTCCTCCCAGTCACTTAGGCTTAAAGCCTAAGTGTCATTCTCCTTGCTCAGTCTTGCCCCACCCCTATATCTAACGTGTTGCCAACATCTGCCATCTCTGTATGTTTTGTATAGACCCCATCTCTCCTCTGAACCCGCTATCCCTCATCACCTGGACTATTGTAATCGCTTCTTGTTTGGTTTCCCTACCTCAAGTCTTCCCCCACTTCAGTTCACCATCTATTCAACTGTCAAAATGCTCTTCCTAAAGTATGAGACTGAACATGTCACCCCCTCACCCCCTTCAAAAATTCCAGTGGCTCCCTATTACCTCCAAGATCAAATAAGAAAACCTCTGACATTTAAAGCCTTCGTAAACTGTCACCTTTCTCCTTTTTCAGTCTTTTTTTTTTTCCTTTGGTGAGGCAACTGGGGTTAAGTGACTTGCCCAGCATCACACAGCTAGTAAGGGTCAAGTGTCTGAACCACATCTGAACTCGGATCCAGTGCTCTATCCACTGCACCACCCAGCTGCCCCTCAGTCTTCTTACACCATACTCCCTTCCACACATTCTGTGTCCCAGTGACACTGGGCTCCTTCCTATTCCTTCATCAAAAACTTCATTTCCTCCCAACTGCTGGAGTTTTCATTGGCTGGTCCTTGTGCCTAGAATTCTCTTACTCATCACCTCTGATTCTTGGCTTCCCTGGTTTCCTGCAAATCCCAGCTAAAATCTCACCTCCTGCAAGAAGCTTGAATGCCCCAACTGCAGGGCCTCCATTCCAGGAAGTTGGAATTAACAACTTTTTTTTTTTTATTTCCCCCACACACACCATTTTAATAAGGACTGTCGTGTTCAACTTCTCCAATCAAATAAAAGGATATTTCTTATCACCCCCCCAAAATAAAAAAAGAATTTTTTTTTTACTTCTAATGGGACTGGAAGGCTTATCCCCATTGAGAGAGTGATAAACTCTGATAATATTTATATACTAAGTACCAGAATTATTCCAGACTTATGGAAATTCTCAAAAGGAGATGCATACTGTAACATGACATTTACCATGCCACACATCATGAAGGCTAAATTTATTCAAGAGATGGAAATAAAAATGCTTCAATAGCCTGAAAATTCTGATTTAAACCCCATTGAAAACCTGTGGGCCCTCTCACAGAAAGAAACAGGAGAATTTTTTTTGCTTCATCATGCATATTTGTGAGTTTTTCTTTTCTTTTCTTTTTTTAACAATTTGGTAGAGTATGGAATTGAGAGGAATAAGGCACTAACAGCAGGATGCAACAAGAAGGGGTGCAGAAAGAAAAAAAAGAAAGAAAAGAGAGTTTTTGAAGTATTTTTAAAACATACAAAAGAAAACACAAAGAAGGCCAAACCATCAAAAACAATTTGATGATAGTTAAAAAAGAGAGGTTGATAAATGGAATAGGTTAGTCACACAACATAAGGTAGCCTAGCATTACTAGATTAACCTACCTAAGGACTTGCAAAAAAAAAAACTTTTCAAAACAAAAACTCTCAACAAAAAAAGCTGAAGAAACTGGAAAGCAGTCTGGCAGAAACTAGGTCTAGAACCTAGGTTCACACCACATAATAAATAAATAAGCCCCAAACAGACACATGGTTTAGCCATAAAGGGTAATAGCATAATAAATTAGAGGAGCAAAGAAAGAAAATGAACTTTCAGATCCATGGATGAGGAAACCGTTCACGACAAGACAGAGATGATCACAAATGATAAAACGGATAATCTTGATAACATAAAAGTAAAGAGGTTTTGCACAATAAAAGAGAATACCCATTTTCTAATTTTAAATTAGAAGGGAAGCTAAAATTAGAAGGGAAATAGGTTATGAGGGGAAAAAATCCTTGCAGCAAATTTTTTTGACAAAGGTCTCATTTCCAAGACATATAAGGAACTTATTCAAATTTATAAGAATAAGAACCATTATGAAATTGATAAATGAGCAAGGGATATTGAATAGGCAATTTCCAAAGGAAGAAATCTAAGCTAGTATAGTCATATTTTAAAATGTTCTAAGTCACTGATAATTAGAGAAACGCAAATTAAACTATCTATGAGGGTCAAATCATAGCCATCAGCAAAGTTAACAAAAATGGAAAATGAAAAATGCTGGAAGGTTCATAGGAAAACAGGCACATAAACGAACTATTAGGGAAGGGGATTATTCTGAATTGGTACAGCTATTTTGAAAAGCAATTTAGAACTATTCCCCAAGAGTTACTAAACTATGTATACCCTTTGATCCACACACACATACCCTGACTTGCCAAAGAGACCAAATAAAAAAGAAAAAGGACTCATATGTAAAAAAGAATTTATAACAACAGCTCTTTTTGTATGGCAAAGAACTGGAAACTAAAGGTGTCCATCAATTGGAGAATGGCTGAAGAAATTAAGGTACATGAATGTAATTGAATGTAATTGTGCTATAAAAAAACACAATGAAAGGAACAGATTGAGAGAAGCCTGGGAAGATTTTTATGACCTGGTGGGAGTGAAGTGAGAACAGTTCATATAGCGACAACAACACTGTTAAAATAAACAGCTGTGAAAGACCCGAGAACTCTGATTTAAGACTTAAAAACTTTAATGACTAACCACAATTTCAGGGGCCACACATGATGAAAGGTTAAATGTAATTAAAAGATAGAAATAAACATCCATCAGTAGCCTGGGAACTTGCCTGATTTAAAATCCATGAAATCCTCAAGGACTCTCCAGACAGAGGCGATGGACTCAAGGTCCAAAATGATGCCTGTGGGCATGGTCAATGTGGGAATTTTTTTTTACTTTACTATGCATATTTTTGCAAGGCTTTAAGGGAGAAGAGAAAAAAATATTTTTTGGTTAACTGAAAAAATTAAATAAAAATAAAGACAAGGAAACTGAGAAAAAAATAAAGCGAATTGAATTGGCAAGGCAAAGAAGGCCAGATAGAAAAACAGACAAGAAGGACCATTTGGAAAATTTCATGTTGAATTTATTACATACTTAAAAGGAAAAGCAAACCATATGTTGTGAATGATGGTTTCATGTATAATCTTTATTGTCCGTTCTACTTTGTATATGGACATGCTCATTTTATTTGACTTTTAAGTTCAAATTTTTAAAATTAAATTTAAAAAGAAAAGACAACCTATGAGCAACAATCAAAGTTAGATTTGGGGAAATGATACATCAAAAGGTTCATCAAAGGTATGCTTAAGAAAAGTGTGACTTCATGATGAACAATTAAAGAATTTGTGTCAAAATCTTGTGAACTCAATGCCAATGTAAAATAAGAGACTGCAGCAAAGTGAGAACACACTGAAGGCCAAAAAAAAAGTTTAAAGATACAAAAATTTGCCTGAGTTTTACTGTACAAATCAATACATTTAATTAACTTACTTTGTCCCAAGTAATTCATGCCCCACTCTATTCTCAAAGGCACCACCAGCCTTTCAGTCACGCAGGTTCATCAATTTGGTGTCAATCTCAACTCCTCGCTCTCACTCACCCAACACGCCCAATCAATTGGCCAAATCCTGTTATCTCTACTTTTCCAACATCTCTTGTATGTGTCTTCTCCATCCACACTGCTGACATCTTTGATACCATCTCCTACCATTGGTTCCCAATTAGAGACTTGCCTCAGGCCTCTCCCAACTCCAGTCCATCCTTCTCTCAGCTGCCAGTGATTTCCCTAAAGCACAGGCCTGTCTATGTCACTCCTCTACACAATAAACTCCAATGACTCCTTGAGGCTAAAAGATGAACTCATATGTTTGATATTTAAAGCTCTTCACAAGCTGCCTGCCCCATGCCTCGAATGTCTCTCTCTCGCACACACACACACACCCCGCCTCCAACCTCATGTTGGCCTCTATGAACCCCTGACTTCCTTCAAGATTGAGCTGAAGCCCACCTTCCACACAAGGCCTTGCCAGACCACCCTTCCCACCCTCTGCACACCTTCATGCTGCTAATACCTTCCTGTCTAAAGTTATTTGTATGGACTTTATGTTCACCTTTCAATGTACGTGCTGTCTCTATTAACATGTCGGCTCCTCTTGCAAATAAATTTCCATTTCCATTATAGTCATTATGTATGTTGTTTTCTCAGCTCTGCTGACTTCACTGCATTAGTTCACATAGTTATGTCCAGATTTCTCTATATTTATCACATTCATCATTTCTTATAGCACAGTAACATTCCAGGAAAATGTTCCTATCTTTAGACCTAGAGAGTCCATTACTGCGTTCGTACCCCAAGGAGGCCAGAGATTACAATAAACCCCCATATACAGCAGAATATTGACAACAGCACTTGTTGTGATAGCACAGAATCAGAATGCCCATGGCTAAGCAAATTGTGGCCCATGACTGCAATAAACCATTACCACACTATAGGAAATGATGAAACGTGGTGGGGAGGGACAGGAGGGACGACAGAATTTGGAACTCAAAATTTTTTTTCAATAATGTTAAAAAATGTTTACATGTAATTGGGAAATATTATTGAAACAAATAAAATATTTTTAAAAATAAATAAATGTGATGAATACAGAGAAGCTTGGAAATATCTATATGAAGTAATGCAGTGAAGCAAGCCGAGCAGAGAAAATAACACCACAATGGCTACGACACTGAGAATGGAGAAAGCCAACACACACACACACACACACACACACACACACACACACACACGTGGAAAGTCAATGTAACAAAATGATAAAGACCAAGCAAAACTCCAATGAAAAGAAATGACAGGGCGCCCCCAACCTGCCCTTTAGGGGGAGGTAGGAGATCCAAAGGTGCTGCTCATTGCACATATTTTCAGATTTTTTCACTGTATTCATTGATTGTGTTGGATTTTTCTCTCCTTTTCTTTAAATCTAAAATACTATTTGTTATATGGGATGGTTCTCTAGGAGAGGGAGGGAAGGAGGACATCAATAAACTGATTTTATTTTGAAGTGTGTGCCTCTTGGGTAGGGATCATTTTCCCTTTTTCTTTGTTTCTCCAGCACTTTGCACAGTGCCTGACACACAGTGATCATTAATAAATGCGTGCTGACTGACTGAAGGCACCACCTGAAGCTGTAGCTGGGGGAGGAGAAAGAGTGCTGGCTTCTCCCGCGCCCTCCCCTTAAGGCCCCTCTCCGGCTGGGGTGTCTCACTGGGTCACAAAGCCTTACCTCAAATGGCCCAGTAGAGTTTATCCCTTCCAGCACTGAAAGGTCAATCCAGCTCTTCTACAAAACCCCCTTTAAGTCCCAGCAATAGGGATACCTCAACGTTTTAGAAGTAACTAAAAGTAATTTCCAGTGGGAGATATTTTCCGTTCACGTTGCTATCTACAAGCAGACCGAGCACACAGGAGCATGATTGACTACCTGATGCTCTGCCGTTCTTGGTCAGCATATCTGATCTGAGATAAAAGCATTGCCTTGTGAACCTTGATTTCTTCAGTCCGCTCTTCCATCGCAGCATACAATTGCTGCTTTCGTTTCTCCAGGGAAAGGACTTCATCTGCTTTAGCGTGAAGCAGTTCTCGGAGACGTTTCATCTCTAGCTTCTGAAGATTGTCTTCAATCAGCAAGTCCTACCCAAAGAGCCACATTATTAGCCATTGAAAATGGAAGCCGTCAAAGACATTTTTCTCTCCTTGTCTTACTCAGCAAAGCGGAACAAGGGATGATATTCTCGAGGAAATGTTAATACCACAGTGAACATAAATTTTAGGCTTTCCTAAAACATAGCAGTAGGAAAAGAATGTTCCTAAAGCAGTCTGTAGAAAGTATTGTACCAGCACCACTTTGTTAATCTAACAAACTGTTTATAGGAACTTCTACTTACAAGAAATGATTAGTAAAAATGAGCAGAGAAATGCAGGGAAGAGAATAAAAGAAGTTCAAGAAGAAACACAGACAAGCAAGACAGCTTCGAAAGGTACATGTTAAATAGCCAAAAACTTTTTTATGTGTTTTAACGTAGCCCTTGGGTTGTTACCTGTTTCAGGTTTTTGGCTTTCTTCAATTCTTTTTCTGATCGGTCAGTAAAAAGATTGAGTTCGCTTATTTTGTTCAAAAGACCATTTTTTTCTTCACCAGTTTTACATACTGACTTCTTGAGAAAATAGAGGTCATTCTAACAAGGAAAAAGAAAAAGAGATTCCAATGACTTCTTTATCATGCCAAAAAAAATTGATCTCATACATACTACATGTTTCTAACATAATTTTCCGAATTCTATCAATTGGCTGTCTTTATTGAAAACACGTTTTCCCCTTACTTTTCCAAAGAGAAAGATGACTGCTCCCTCTCTCCTCTAGATGAACAAATGATTACCCTCCTAGCTCAATGATGATACAGAAGTAATTTAACTTATCTCAACCTTGGTTTCCTCAGCAGTTAACTAAGAGAGTTGAACTAGCCAATGGCTAAGATCAATCCCTTAGAACGCTAGAAGTCTTTGTTCTGCCAACAGGCAATCACAACTTCACGAAACTTATGTCAAAACTAGGTTTATTACAAGAAAAATACACATACACGGGGAACCCAAAGAGTTCACAATCCATATGGAAGTCTGCATCTCTACGACAGCAGAACAAAGGAAGGAGGAGATAGCAGGAAGAGACATGGCATGGGAAGGGGAAAGGTACAGCAAAGGTGGGACCAGGACAAGAGCCCTTCTGATGGGGAGGAGCAAGGCGATAGCAAAAGCCATATTCCTTTTCCTTGGGAACTGCCAGACTATGAAGATAGAAGGTTTTGCTCATCTACAGGTCCCAACTGCACAAACCTAGTGCAGATTGTCTGGCAGCTGTCTTAACTCCCAAGGACACACAGGAGGCCAGCTTGGGATGCAAACATATTACATCAGCTTAGGTAGGGGTGCTTTGTCCTTGAGACATCCAGGGCCTCCTGTGTGCTCTGGGTCCAGTGTTTCTGGAAAATATGGCAACTCAAAAAGACAAGTTAAGGGAACCCCTTAACAGTCCTTAACAGATCGGAATCTTATCTATAAAAATGCCAACCAATTCTTGAGCTAAATGAAATATCATTCAACTCAGAAAACATAAACATTCCAGTGAGGATCCAGTTCAAACATTTGTTGTTATTGTTGAATATCTAGTTTCATTTCTTAAATGATTTAATTGATTTAAAATTAAAAAAAAAACTCCCTCCTCCTGAAAAAGGCTGGGGGGCCAGAGGGAATGGAAAAAGTTTATTCAAACTAATTCTTCAGTTCATTTAACGATACAGAAAATAAGCATAATTTATTCCAACTTTTGGTTTTCTAAGTAGTTTGCTTCAAACTGTGCCTGTTGCAGATTTTAGCTGTCTGGCCTTTAAGTTATTAACATACACACTGATCATATTACTGGTGAGGAAAAAAATACTAGGAAATGAGCCTTTTCTAACATACAGAAGGTCCTAGCTTCATGAAAAGTTCTACACTATTGTTTGTTTTTAACTGAGCTTATCCCCTGCATCTCCTCTACTGGTGATCTCTTCCTTCTCTTTCAGGGCTGATTCTGTGTGTCTGTCTATGTCTTTCCCTTTCCTAGCAGCAGGACCAAAGACTATAGCATGACATGACTTTCCTCCACATGGGACTGATTCTAGGTATATCTCTACTACATGGAGTTCTTGACCTTCTTTGGGTCATGGAATCCTTTGGCAGCCTGATGAAACCTACTTGCCCATTATCAGAATGTTTAAATGCATAAAATAAAATAACTAGGGTTACCAAAAAAAAACCAACTATACTGAAATATGGTACTCAAAATATTTTTTAAAAACATATTCACAGACTTCAGGCTAAGAATCCCTCCCTCTACTAGGTTTTCCCCCTCTAGTTCAGAAATGGAGATGATATTCTACTTCTAAGACATGAATTTCTAGTAAGATGGCAAATGTAAACGTGTCACTGAATATTTCTGATGAAATATTAGCTACTCCTTAAGGAGAAGAAATTTACTAGTGAGGAAATAACTTAATTTTAGGTTAACTCAAGACCTTTCTTAAAAAGCTGAGGGCTTTTTTCATAGACTCTCCTACATGTCTAGTTGCCAGAGGGAGGTTTAGAACAACAAGTCCGGTGGCATATGGAAATGTACAAGAAAACAGGGGGGACAAGAATGACTTAGTCAGAACCAGTGTTGCTCCTTGGAAGGGTCACCAGGAAGGAGTAGCTGAGACCAGGATCAAGAATCCCACGTGTCTAAGAGCTGTGCCATCTAAGAACTGTGCCTGGGCCAGTCTCACCCACTCCTGGGGGTCACTCAAGTTACTGAGCAACAACACGCCCACTGAAGATGTTCAAAGATTCCGGAACATTTAGGCAAAGGTTTTTCACATCAAAGCTACTGTATTCGTCAAAAACATTTAAAAGGACAGCCCCATTCTGCCTTATGCAGTAACGGTCAGAAGGTGCTGGGGATCCTGCAACTCAAACCAGCTCAAGTTCTCCACATTAAGCCCTCTTCTGCTCCCTAAAAGTCACTCAAACACCATCCTCTCCAAGCAGTCCCTGATTTCCCTGGCAGAGAAAGAGCTACCAATGGATATAAAGAAGAACAACACGGACAAACTGAAAGAACCACTCCCCGCCTCATCCTAAAAAAGTTGGGTTCTAGCATAAGGCATTCCAAAAAAAATGTTTACGTTTCCTCCTTCTTGTTAACAAAATCCTTTTGGGCCAGTATTCTAAAAAGCACTAAATACTGTTTAAATGTTTAGTTTTGGGGAATTCAACGCACTTTTTAGTAACAACATCTATTTAAAGACAGAACCATTTAAGACAAATGTTAATAACACCTTACCCTTATATAAGGTTTCAAAGTGTTTCTTTCATATATAGCATTTTATGTAAAAATTTTGTGTAACTTTTTTCATGATATACAACTTTTTTTTTTCCTTTTAAAGAGATCTCATTTTAGAGTGTGTTCCACATTTGGCCCAAGGCAGTCAGCTGTCACATTTCATCCTCATAAGTCAGTCTATGAGGTACCAGGTAGTGCAAGTATTATGATCCCAATTTTACAGATGAGAAAACTGAGTCCCCAAGAGGTTGAGCGGACTTGCTGAAAAGTCCCACAGGTCATAAATAGTAGTAGAGCTGGGCCTTAAACCCAGTACCCTGGACTCAACCTAGCACTCTCCCAACACAGCCAGGTTTCCCAAATACCAGCCTGCAACAAACATGGGCCAGCCAGATAAACCTGAACTACCTAAGGCCTCCGGTTCCTAAAATCTACCAACTGAAACACACACACACACAGACACACACACATACACACATACATACACACATACACACACATACACACATACACACACATACACATACACATACACACACACATACACACACACACATGCATACATACACACACGAGCTCTATCTGCACATCCTTCTCCTTGAATTGTACTTGACCCCAACCACCCCTGAGCCCAGAAAGCAGGTAGTTTACTAGTACACAGCATAGCTTGAGAGTAACAACATAGTAATACAGCACAAATTTTTTCACAATGCAGAATGTTTTGTATATATAAGCAGGGGTAGGGAACTCAAAAGTCTTCGCTGAGAATTAATGCACCTTTTAATTCTAATAACTAATAAGCTATTAACTATTAACTGCATTATATATACACACATATAACTAGTAAGCATACACACATACCCATTCGTATGGATGCCTGTACACACACATACAATCTCTAATATATGAGTGTATATGCATTAGACACTAATATTTTGCATATTCTTTCAGCAACAGAAGAAGAGAATCATAACAAAGTTAATAGCCAACCGTATCAGTTGTAATAGAGTTTGGTAGTCATCATAGTTAGGACTACGTTTTGTGAATAAGTCAGTTTAAAAACCTGCTGATTAAAATAAACTAGTAATTTACTACAATTCATCACAGACTTTTCGTAACATAAAAGCAATTTTGATCAAATTACATCAAGCTTCTTGATCTGGTTTTCTAATAGTTCTGATGTATTTTTTTTCTCTTCAAAAGTCTTCCTAAGTTCAACAAGTTTTGTCTCAAGGACCATCTTTTCCTCCACATTAAGTTCTCCCTGGAGCCGTGACATTCTTCTCTCTATTTGCTGAATATAAAAATCCTGTTTCAAACAATAAAAATAAAGAAGCAAATAAATTAGCAAACAATTACAACTATTTTTAAAAAGCTGTAAACATTCCTTGCTGGGTTTTGGCTTCAGGGAGGTAATTTAACAAGGACACTCTAGCTGATGCAGTTGTAATAAGTGGTTCCTTCATCTTTGGCCGGGGGCCTTCAGTGATGAGGCTGTCTTCTAATCTAACACTATGACAAAGCATTCAGCAGAGGCCATCCATGAGAGGGAAGGTAACTGGCTGGGTGGGGACCAGCAGGGACACTGCTAAAAAGGGCTACACTAGCCCAGGGAAGGAGCAGAAGGATGCTCACAAATCCCATGAGTGATAAAGGGACTGGGGCAGGTCCCTTTCTAGCATTGCTAAGTTGAGGAAAAGGATGGGTATTAGATATTAACAAAATAACAAATGGTATAAACATAATTTAAGAAAAAACTACATAAGTAGAATATAAATATTGTGGTCTTTTTTTTAACAATGAAACTACTTCACTGGTAAAATAATGAAAAATAAAAGCATGCAAGACAAAACATACGCCTCCTGAACCCCTGACCCAACACACACATCAGGTCCCCATCTTCATCCCCTCACAGAACCAATTCTCTCTCTCTCTCTCTCACACACACACATCTCATCCCCTCATCCCCTGTGACTGACACACACATCAGCAGCTACCCCCACTCACAGTGGGTCTAACATACAATTTTAAACACCCCTACCCAACACACACAACTATACTAGATATACACACCCTATGTCTGATGTATGTGCCATGGACTCCCCTTCACAAGGAGTGTGTATGTGTGTGTGTGTGCGCGTGCGCGCATGTTTGTGTGCCTGTCTGTCTGTTAAGTCTCTGTTTCTGAACACATACACACACACACACACACACAAATCAACATCATCATCATCATCTCCCCTCATACTATATATCTGACACATTCTCCACCATCCTCTTCCCAGCACCCAGCTGTGACCCCAGGGGTATTCCACGTCCCTAGAACTAAACCTCCCTACAAACTAGTATTCATGAGTTCCATCAATATATTACAAGCCCCAAAACGTTCCATGCCTGAATTAATTTGGGAAATTTTGGCTTCAGGGCTAGCAGTGAGGACTTCCCAGGGAAGATGTGAATATTCTGAAATGCAAATATATATTCTGAATCCCTAAATGGTCACAAGGTGAAAAGGACCCAAAAAGCCTAAGTGATGTAGGGAAGGAATGCCTCCTGGCTGAGTCACTGTGACTAGCCTTTATTTCCTGCCTGTCTCCAGTCCCAAGCTTAGTTTCCAGCTCACTTAAAGCTGAGGGTTCTGGGATAGACAGGTGAAGCAGACAAGCTACCTATGACTGCTTGCAGCTCTCAAGAGCATCCAAGGGTAGACAAAGGGAAAATGGGGCCCACGGTGAATAAATGCAAACGACTGTCACTACAAAGGAGGCATCACGGCATGACGGACAGAGAGCCAGCCTTGGGGATCAAAAGAACTGGGTCCAAGTTGTGCCCTTGCAGCCTCTGACCAGACAAAGGGGAAACTCCTGTCTCCTCTTATGGGAATAATTCAGTTCAAGGGGCACCAGGCCTCTTCAGAATTCTGTCCCAAGCTGAACTCCTACCTCCAGCATCTGCTCCCCTAATGCAGCGCTGACCTTCCAGGCCCTAGCTCCAAAACTGCTGCTTCCTGAGGTGAAGAGCATTGGGACGATCACTGCCCTGATAAAAAACTAAGTCGGCTGATGTCTGTGAGTGGTTACAGCCACCCACATACCTGGTTATGCATGATCTCCTGTTGCTTCAAGGTTTCCAGATCCAGTTTGTATAAGCGGCGGTTGAGGCTTTTCAGGGAGGAGCGGGTCCCCTCAATTTCAGATACAACAGACTTCTCCTCATCCATGGCAATTTTCAACTTCTCAACACTTTTAAAAAGCACTTCCTTTATTCTACTCAAATGAGACTCCACATCCTGGGGATAAACATTAAGTTAATTCGCTAAATGATAACATCCTAGAATTCTTTATTTATACAAGCTCAGAGTCTCCAAAGGTGGGCACCTCTTCAGGAAGCCCTTTAAATGACTCCCTGGGACTCAGTCCTACTAGCTGCCAAGGTGGTCAAGGGAAAGTCTATAATTCCTTGTCAACCTCAGCGAGGAGGATTATTTAAAATGTTCTCCTTGAGATAAATTCTTCATCTTGAATACAAAGGATCATGGGATTTGGAGTCCAATTCCCTCATTTTATAATTTTTAAAAAATGGCGTATGTTTATCAAATTTCCAGATGTCCCAAAGCTAGGAAGGATGGCTAACACTGGATGACTTAGTCAGGAGCCAAGAAGATCTCAACAAATTAGAGCATTGGGCTATATCTAGTATAATGAAATTCAACAGAGTAAAACGTAAGAGTCTTGCACTTGGGTTAAAAAAGTAACTTCTCAGGAATAAGGAGGAAGAAGTATGGCTACAAAGCAGTTTGTATGAAAAAAATCTAACGGTTTTAGTGTACTGTAACCCAAAGAGGAATCATGAGTGTGATACAGTAACCAAGAAGACTTTTTATGCTGATTTTTTCATCTTCATTTTTTCTTTTCTTTGTCTTTAAAAAAAGTATTTATTATATGGGATGGCTCTCTGGGAAGGGGAGAGAAGGGGATATTGGGAGAAACTAAAGTGATATAAAAAAATTGATAAAAACTTCTTTTTGAAAGAGATGCTAGGCAGGAAAACTGTATAACAGGATTTCTTAGGAATCAGGAAAGGAGAGAATCTAGCTCAGAGCTGGCCAGGTTGGCTTGAGAGAAAAATGTAGGAGAAAGCAAAAGACCAGGGACAGTTGGAGTGGAGGTATATGGCTAGGGCACAGTGCCAAGCACAGGAGGGTCAGGAAAGGGCTCTTGGTCACTATTCTTGATGCCAGAAGAGTCTGTTCTCCAAGCTATATAGGTATATAGTTTGTGATAAGTCAAGTCACATGGGTTACCATCAGGGAACACTGGTAAATGTTTACAAAGATAAATGCATGCACAGAAAAAACATATCTAAGTTTAATCAGCAATATTAACATTTTCATCACCACTACTTAAGTCTAAACAATCAACAGAACAATGAATTAAGCCCTGATTTCTACCATTTGCTGATTAGTGAGGTGTAAAAGCTCACACTCAGCTCTCCAGCTGGTTGGAGCCATTTCATGCACAAACCCCACAGGTGAAGACTCAAAGTCTCCAGTAGAACTATCACACAAAGAGTTAGCTCCATTTTCAAACCCAGGAGGATACCATTTTCTGACCTTGCTAAAGGCTCAAAAATGCCTTGTTCCAGCTCCAAGGAAGAGAGAGGCTGATGGGAGGCAAGTACACCAAAGATTACATGACCGGAAGCATGGATGAGCACAAAGCTTGCGCTAACACACTCGGCCCCCATTGCATACACATGCGAGCTGAAGATGAGGGCCAGGTTGGGTTCTGGGAGGGCTCTGAAATGCCTTCCTGGAGTTGGCCAGAACCCCAGGCAGCGCCCCACCTCTACAAGAAATCACTGGGGTGCAATTTAGCCCAAGCCCAGCAGGGTGTGCTAAGTAGTCCCCAAAAGTCCTCTTTAGTCCTGTGATTCTGATGCTATGATTTAGTCCCCCTATGGCCCCCTTTAAAAAAAAAAATAAAGAAGAAACAAACAAACAAACAAACAAATAGGAAAAACCTTCAATTAACTTTACCTTGACAGCTTTTTCCTCCTCTTTTAGTATCCGTTCGATCCTGGCAGCTTTCTCCTCCGCACTCATAGTTTTCTCCATGACCTCTTTTAGCTTTTTGCTGAGCATCTCATTCTGTTCTCGAGTTTCATTCAACCTAAACACATCATTCAGAAAAGTATGAGCAGAAAACTGAGAAGCAGATTGTTCAGAAGAGCCCAACACAGGAGAGCCCGAGGGTGCTTCCTCTGACGAGAGAACCGCTGCTCTCTGACATGGATTCAGCCACGTAATTTTTCTATGGACTAATAACAGGTTAGGGAAAAAAGTTTATAAAGTTTTTAAATGATATGGCATCTGTCATTTGGAAGTTGTCCAAAAAACCACACTATTTTCTAGAAATCATCACAAAATTCTATTTTTTCAAAAAAGTTTTTCTTACTTGTCAGTTTTTTCCTGAATTCTTTTCCTCAGACTCATCACCTCTCTCCGAATAGCTTCCAGGTCACTCGATGTTCTAGTCACTGTGGCTTTGAGAGTGTCCAGCTAAGGGTTAGGTAGTAAAAGAAAGAGACACTTTAACTCAAGAGTTTACATGGAAACGTTCCCCACCATTTCTGAGAAGTTCCACTGACCACCATGATTAAGTTTTATCCTCAGGCCTCCCACAAGGGCAATATAGTTTCTACTGTAATTGACAGACACTGAACTGTTGGCCTTTTATCATTGGCATACTTGCCATAAAGTACAGTGTTTGCTATTTTATCCATAGAAAATTCCTATGTACATAATGGTATTGAAGAAAAGTCCAAAAACTTGGTCCATTATCACAGTGACCACTCATATTAATACATACACCAATATTCTCCCTCTCTCAAAAAGTTTATTTTACATATGAACAGATCAAGAAAAAGAAAGCAAAATTTTAAACAATTACTTGAAAAAATGTTGAATTTTACTAATAAAGAAATGTAAGATGCTAGCTCATGCCTATCAAAATTTCAAGGATAAATGATAACGCCAAATGCAGTGGTTGAACTATGAGAAAATGAATGTACTTATCCATGATTGCAGTACCAGTTGGTACAATCTTTTCATAGAGCAATCTAGCAAGACATGAATCAAAAATATATACCTTTCAACCTTATAAATTCATTATTGTGAATAGTCCCTAAGGAAATCATTAAAAAGAAAAAAGAAATAATTACAAAAAATGTTTATAGCTATGTTTTTTGGAAGAATCTCAATGCCTTACAAGTAACAGTTGAACAAAAAATGGCAGAGCAATGTAACAAAGTAATTTAATCTCATTAAAAATGACAAATGTGAAGAATATAAAGAAATATGTTAAATACAAACTAATGCAAAGTTAAAACTAGAACTAAAAAAACAATGAATCTGTGACCTACAACTATATCATAATTTTCAATGTGTACTTTTACACATATGAATAAGTATCATGGAAGAATTTAGGAGTCACTGAGTTGCCACTGTTATTTGTGTTCAAGCATAGTTTTCATTCTAAATAGTTCTGATTATACTTTTCAATTGGTTTTTATTTCATGCTAAGTATATATAATACAGTTAATATTTAGAATATGTAATACAATACAAGGCAAACTCAAAATCAGATTTGGGAAAAAGTCAGCAGATTATAAGATCTTCTCATCCCTGACTCTAGCTTTTTCAATACAATACAATTTCTTTTGTAGTTTTTTTAAGCCCTAACTAAAAATGTGGAAGGTTTATCCAAAACTGGAAGCTACACAGAGTTTTTAGATGGTCTCTGAGAATCCTATGTAAAAATTACTTGTGAATAGGTAGGGAACTATTAATGAAACACCCAAACTGTGAAGTCCAATTTGGTCTCTTGAGGCCCAAGCTACTTTGGCTGGTGCATCTATTAGCCCTGCACTGGACAGAGGCGCTGGCTGGGCTGAAGCGTCTAACATATCATGATGCTCTGATTTCAGTAAGAAGAAAGGAATCAATAGCTTGGAAGTCCTCCTTTAATCAGGAGCTAGCTCGCTGTCTTTCAGGCCAAACCTCACACACCCAGCTCACACACACCATCTCTGAGTACCTCATCCTGGAGCTGCAATCGATTTGTTTCACAATTTTGATAGTTCAAGCGAAGTTTCAAAGCTCTTCGATCAGCAAACTTGATTTTCTTCTCATACTCTGCATTGTTTTCTGTCTCGCTCTCCAAGAATTTGATCTTTTCCTTAATCATGTTTTCTTTAGCTCTTAACTCTTGTTTTGCCTTTGCTAACGACTGGCATAATAAAAAATGTATAATTTTTAGTAAAGGGTACAAAAATAAACATTGAAAAAAGCAATCACATTTCCATTTGCTTTCTTGCTGAACTCACAGTCTATCAGAGAAACTCACTTTGTCACCCCCCATATCTGTGCCTTTGCCCAAACCATGCTCCCAAACCCAGAAGACACCTCCTTCCCCACTCTGATTCTCAGACACTTTATCTACCTTCAAACTTGAGCTCACATTACACCTCCATGAAACCTTCCCTGTTGTCTCTCTTTTTTACTATCCCTAGGACTCAAAATGATCTTCTTACATCAAGGTTAAATACTGTGTCTCTAACACTTTTGCCTGCTCCTAGTTCTGTGCCCCTGGGGTCAAGGGAAGTCAATCTAAACCCTCTTCCACACAACAGTTCTTCGATCACGAGCCTGTCTTCCATTGAGTGCCTAAATCTTCTGTCCTCTGGGTCAAACATCCCCAGTTTGGGCATCCAGTATTCATCTGACATGGTCTGCAGGTCACTCGCCATTCCCACAGCCCCCTTCTGACCGCTCTGGCAGCTTTTCGACGTCCCTCCTCAAACACGTGGCCTCAGCAGTTAGGAATCTTGCAGAACCCTCCCCTCTCTACTCTGGAACATAATGTCTCTCATAACGGGAGCTTAACATGTTAATGCCAGATCACAATCTAGATTAAAACTGAACTCAAGGTCTGTTCAAAACCCCAAATCTTCTTCAGACAACAACAGTTTACTGTGTCTGCTTCGTCTTAAACATTTAAAGTTAATTTTTTAAATTCCAAGTACAAGACTTTACATGGACGTGTATTAAATTTCATTTAATTAGATTCACCCTATCACTCTAGCCATCACTCAGCATGTAAGCTCTCACTCCCAGCTTTGTGTCATCTGCAAGTTTAAGGAAGATTCCAGCTACACCCTTCTCCATGCTACTGGCAAAAAATGTTAACTAGAACACCGTTAAGTACGTCTGTTGTGGCCCTCCACCAAACAAGTGATGGCTTTGGGTTTGGTCAGGGAACAAGTCCTGAGCCCATGGAAGTGCCCAACCACTTAATTTTACATCTCTCTCTCTTTTCCACAATAATATCATGAGATTTTTTTAATCAAATTTCCTGTTAAAATCCAGGTAAACTATAACCATCATTCCCCTGATCAGGCTATTAACAATGTCACAACAGAAACTGAGTCTAATATGATCTAGTTTCACAGACTACAGAGCTGCCTCTGGGTGATCACTGCCTCCTTTTCTAAAAGGTTTACACTCCATCCCTTTCATAATACATTCCAGAATTCTGCCAGAAAGCCACGTTAAGCTTTACTGGGCCATAGTTCACAAAGTTCACTCTCCTCCCTTTTTTTGAAGACTGGACACCATGTGCCATTTTCCAGTCCTATGCCACTCATCCTGTTGCCCATAATCTTTCAAAGATGACAGACAGTGTCTCAGCAATAACATCTCCCAATTATTTTATGGTACCAGTGATGAAATTCACCTAGATTTAAAGACTTACACTCAGCAGTGGCATCTGGGTGCTCTCTTCCTTGCTCCTTACTTATCTTGGGCCATTTTGATTCTGCCCTTTCCAGTCCAAAGATCATATTTGTTTGTTTGTTTGTTTATTTATTTAGGTGAGACAATTGGAGTTAAGTGACTTGCCCACAGTTACACAGCTAGTGAGTGTTATGTGTGTGAGGTCTGATTTGAACTCCTGGCACCAGTGCCAGTGAGCCACAGTCTGTCCACTGAGCCACCTAACTGCCCCTCAAGATCACACTTACTGGCAGAGAAAACAGAATCACCAGAAGGGCTGAGTCCTCTGCCTTCTCCTTCAGTCTTTGGTGATTTCTGCTCTTCCCCTGTTCCACCATCACCAGAGACGTGGAAGAGGCCACGGAGGACTGAGGGCCACTATGGGTTGTTCTCTGTTTCCTGCACTGCCACAGCCAAAGAACCCATCCTCAGCTGACCTCCACACTGGGAGGACATATTAGAGGAGAACTTCATGGAAGCTATCCCCACACAGAGGTTAAAACAAAACCAAATAAAGCCATCCTGTCTTCCTCGGCTGACGCTGCCCGGCCCTGGTTATTCTGATCTTCAGTCCTTCTGACCCGCTTCTTTCAGGTCCACTCTATGACACCCTATGATTCAGCATTCATCCTCTGTCATGGCCTCCAAATAAACATTTTAAAAATCTTTTTTTTTGTTTGTTTTAGGCAATTGTGGTTAAGTGACTTGCCCAGGGTCACACAGCTAGTGTCAAGTGTCTAGTCTGAGGGCGGATTTGAACTCAGGTCCTCCTGACTCTAGGGCAGTGCTCTATCCACTGTGCCACCTAGCTGCCTCAACATTTTAAAAATCTAAGTTGGTTAACGAGTTCCCTATGTATCCACACTGTTTCCTTTAAAGAGCTCTCTTTTTCCCATCTCCCCTTCCTGTGCTTTTGCATAAGCAGTACTCCCCTCCCAGACTAGAATGTGCTTCCTCCTCACCTGTGCCTCCCATAACCCTCAGTTTCCTTCAGAGTTCCATTCAAAACCCACCTTCTCCCTAAGGCCTTTCCTGATCCACCCCTTTCCCCCAGCTGCCAGCACCTTCCTGCCAAAAAAAAGATCTTGTTTTTATTTCACATGCAAGTACTTCTATGTATCTGTTGTCTCTACCCCAGAATGTAAGGTCTTTAAGGATGGCGGTTGTTTAATTTTTGTCTTTGTACCTCCAGTTCCTGATACAGTGGCCACCACCCCAGTTCAGGTCCTCATCACCTCTCACCTAGACTATCGCAAGTCTTCTGTTTGCTCTCCCTTCCTTAAGTCTTCCCGTCTATCCTCCAACCAACAAAGCAATTTTCCCAAAAAGCCTATATGCTAGGCACTGTACTGATTACTTTACACATATTATCTCATTTGATCCTCACAACAGCCCTCCAGGGCAGGTGTTGTTATAATTCCTATTTTGCAGATGAGGAAACTGAGGCAGACAGAGGTTAAGTGACTTGCCCAGGGTCCCACAGCTGGTAAGTGTCTGAGGCAGGATTTGAACCAGTGCTTCTCTAACAGGCAACATCTTCTCGCTTATTGATCCATTTCTCTTTATAGGAATTAGTGCTCTTTACAAGCTTCACAGCCCTCCAGGGTAACTTCCTTTCTAGAATTTTAGTCCTTAGAACTTCGTGCTTTTTCTAGACCCACTGCAATCTAAAAGAGCTTGTGTATCCGTATCCATCCCCATCCCTCATGGTGTTTGGCATATAGTAAGCACATCATATAGCAAGCACTTGAGGTACCTGGCTGGCTCAGCAGACCAAGCACTGGGCCTGGAGCAGGAAGACCTGAACTCAATCAAGTCACTTAACCCTGTCTGCCTTAATCCACCAGAGAAGGAAACTGCAAACCACTCCAGTACTTTGCCAAGAAAATCCCACGGATAGCACTGATGTTCCATTATGGTCCATGACTGAACAACTGAATAACAATTAGACCAAGTATGTTTCCACTCTTCTGGGAGGCTAGGTGGCACAGTGGATAGAGTGCAAGGCCTGGAGTCAGGAAGACTCATCTTCCTGAGTTCAAATTTGGCCTCAGACACTTACCAGCTGTGTGACCCTGGGCAAGTCACTTAACCCCATTTGCCTCAGTTTCCTCATCTGTAAGATAAGCTGGAGAAGGAAATGGCAAACCACTCCAGTATCTTTGCCAAGAAAACCCCAAATAGGGTTATGGAGAGTCAGACACGACTGAAATGACTGAACAACAATGAAAATCACTTAGTAATAACTTTTTCAATTCATTGCTTCCCAAAACCTAAGGCAGATGTCAGACTAGTGTGGGCTTTTCCTTATATCTTTATCACAATCTAAAGCAAAGTGGTTCCTTCTCCTCTAGGCTCTCATCATTTCCCCCCAACAACCAACCAATGATTAGCTTTTCTGCTTTGGGCTGAGAAAGCAAGAGCACGTGTCTGGATAATTATCAGCACTGTATTGTGTCTTCGGTGCTGGGCTGGTGACCTGTTTCCTAAAGTCATTTATTCCTCCTTCTGGGAGGTCTGTTGGATACTCCAATGACAATATCACTTCTGTTCCCGTCTCCATGGATCTTGACCCCAGTGCTCTCCACCATGCTGTCCCAACCACCTTCTTTGCTCCTCCTGGATTTCTTCATACCTATATATTTTCTTAACACACAAAATTCTATTTTCCCTTTTCTGTATCCTATTCCTTTTTGATCAGGTATATCCCTTTAGATTCATATTCCAGGCCTAAGTCTCATCTCACCAACTTTCAAATTTCTAATTGGATGTTTCACACACATCTTGAACTCCACAGGTCCAAAGCAATTTGTTATCTTTTCCCAAAAATCCATCCCTCTTCTGAAATTCCCTATTACCACAGAGGGTGCTACCCTTCACCCAGACTTGAAATCTCAATGTCATTTTCTTCTTCGCTCTTGATCACCCAATGTGTCCAATCAGCCACCACATCGTCTTCTACCTTGACAATTTTTCCCATGTAGGCCCCCTTTTCTCCACTCATAACAGCCACCACCCCAGTTCAGGTCCTCATCACCTCTCACCTAGACTATTGCAAGTCTTCTGTTTGCTCTCCCTTCCTTAAGTCTTCCCATCTACCCTCCAACCAACAAAGCAATTTTCCCAAAAAGCAAAGATCTGGCCATGCTACTGCCACAGGCAATACATTTCAGGAGCTCCCTCTTCCCTCTAGAATCAAATACACACTCCTCTTAAATGCTGGTCATTTAAGGTTCTTCACAATCTGGCCCTTTCCTATCTTTCTAACCCTCTTACACATTAATCCACCACCCAGATATACTGGCCTACTCGCTATTCCTCATACACTAATGCTTCTTCTCTCACCTCCGTGCTTTTGCACTGGTTGTCTCTCATGCCTAGAATGCCCTCCATCCTTAGCCTCACCTCTCGAATTCACGGCTTCCTTCAAACTTTGCTCCGCTGCCACACTGTCCATGAAGGCTTTCCTGATCCACCTCCTCCCCACCTCTCAGCTGCTGGGGCCGTCCCTCCTACATTTTGTTTATCTTGTACATATTCTGTGTGTACTTATTGATACACATGTCGTCTCCTCTGTCACAAGGTCAGCTCCTAGAAGACAGGCAGGGTTTCACTTTTGTCTTTGCCTCCCCGGCACTCAGCACAATGCCCAGCCAACTTGTCTTCTTGCATTAGCCACTAGTCAGGGCACCTTCCCTCTTCTCCTTTCCCTTCACCCGCCCCCTGATCCCTGGGCAACCATTAGGGGCTGCCACGTGGGAACGGCAAAGTGACTGCTCATACTGCTTTGATGGGCTGGGGAGTCACCCACTCTCACCTCTCCAGAAAGATGGGGGAGCATTAAACCTTACCAGGTGAACTGTCCCTACACCCTCCAGTCCCCCAGCAGTGCCCTGTAACCTGGCAAGGCACTCTAAGGACCCCTGGTCTTTACCATCCTCCCCTACCACCGAGCCCTTGGGATTTCTCGGCCTTTCTATTAGCCCTGAAGCTCAACTCTCTGAAATGTACTGTCTCCCCCAATTAGAATATGCACTTGAACACAGGAACCATCTTGATTTTTCTACTTGGATCCCTAGCACCAAACAGTGCTTGTTACTTAACCCTACTTTGTGCATTTGTGCACTGACATCTGAAGGCATGGGTTTTATTATTGGCTCTTTTCTTGGATTTTATCTCCTGTGAATCTCTAGGCATCCCTACTGCTATTCTTCTACCTTCACTAGCTGTGGTACTGAAGCTTATCTACCTTGATGAAAATATGTGGGCAGTCTTCCTCCCAGCTACGGCTCCCTTTAAATTTGTAAGATTGATAAGGCAAACTCATTGTTAGTGTACTTTAATCCTTGCTAGGAGTCTCACTCCTGTATCCCTGTACTCAACACCATCTTCTAAACCAGTTATTCACTTCCCAAATCTCCCTCTTCTGAAGCATTTGCCTTCAAATGGCTGTAATGACGAAAACACTACCTATGTGGCTAAAGCCTTCAGTTTTTTGCCCAAGACTTCATAATCACATGCTCTGTCGATGTCTTCTGGCAACATCATTTGTGTCCAAGTCAATCACCAGCAGTATTAGTTATCCAATTTGACAAGCCTTCAAAGGTTCACTGTCCAAATACTGGATGAACGCTAGAAGAAGACAGAAGACCCCTCTATGGTTTCTCTGCCTGAAGAATGGCTGTCTTGGAGTCACCAACCAGCACAGCTCATGTCTTCTCCCACTGACCTCCAGTGAATGATCACCCACCGGCCCCCGCTCCCCGCCGCAGCAGCCCCTAAAGATGCATCTCACCTTCCTTGGAGCAGAAGCTGCTACCTCCTCCTCAGAGGGGGCAGCTCCCTCCCATTTTGGAAGAGTTTCCTCCCTACCTCTTATCTCCAATGTTCTCTGCCCATTGTGCCCTGTGGGACTTTTTCCTGCCCTTCAGGTTCCTGACACAGAGCAGGACTCCCCTCCATCTCTTTAGGTCTCTCCTCTCTCTGTCTTCACGTGGAAGCCTTTTCACTTTTTAAAGGAACATCTGAGTCTCCCTGATAACCTGGGAAGGGGGAAGGTGCTTCTTCAACTCCTCTACCTTCTCACGTTGGAGCAAGACCAGCATGGACTTTGAGAAGAGAAGACAGTCAACTGGCTGTGCACAAATATGAACATTTTCACCCTGCAAAATTTCCCCTGTTTTCCATATTTAATTGTTCTTTTAAAGTAAATAAAATAAAAAACAAGCTTTGGCAGTTTTATTAAAAAATACTTTTGTAAAGTTTTCTTTTCCCTGGTCTGTTTTCCCGTCTCTAAGGACAGCAGTCTCACCTGGATCAATGACATATATTTTGTGGACATGTTCTATGGTACTTTCTACAGGTGGTGTCTAATTCAATGTTACTACCACTGTAGGCCAGTTTTGTCCAACACAGCATAAGATTCCATTCCCAACCTCCTTAAAGTCAGATAGTTGTTGGCTAGGACGCCATTTCGTTTTTCTCTTAATCATCTGATCATTTTAAGGGTCTCTTTGTAATCCAATTTGTATTTTCCACTTTTCATTACTAGCTGGACCCTAGAGTTGATGTATAACATTTTGATCTCTTCTGTGGCCACCATGTTCCCGCCTTTGGTGCGGCAGGACTCTTCACCAGAAACCTGCCACCTGGCTAACCAGAGAGCAATCAAAGCATCTGCTGTTCTTTGTAGTGGCTCCCCTATAGAACTGTCCTAATAAACACTTGGGGAGATCTCCAGCTCCAGGGCCATAACTCCCCATGTGTTGCTTCTTACCTTGTTAGCACCTTCATTGCCACACCCATCTTCTTAATAGCCACAATCCCAATTGCCCTGCTTTCACTTTGTATCCTTCCAGTATATATAAGCACCTTGAGGGTAAGGACTATTTCGTTTTTGCCTTTATATGCCAGAATCTCACACAGTAGCTGACGCAAAGGCCAGACTTCATAAATTCACTGAATTGAACTAAACTGACCAAAAGAATTGAATCCTCTAAAAGGTAATTTTTAAAATAATTTTTTACAGTTTGAAGTAAATGAGTCAAATACAAAAGAGATGAATCAAAGTTAAGGACTAAGCAAGTGATTTACCAAAGCACAAGCATCGATGTCTTTATCCCTTTTTTGCATCTGCTCTATTGTACTTTCCCACTGTTTGATGAGTTCTTGCCTTTCACTGTGAACCCTTCGAAAATCTTGTGCTGCTTTATCCAGCTCAATCTGCACAATATTAGAACAAAAGCACATTTCTTAGTTTTAAGTCTCATTACAAAAAGCCTAACAAGTCAACAATGAGTCAAGTCAACAGGCATTTATTAAGTGATAACTGGGTGCTAAGTAGTGGGGGTACAAAGAAAGGCAAAGATGGGCTCTGTCCTCAAGGAGAAGAGGAGGAAGAGGAAGAAGAGAAGAGGAGGAGGAGGGAGAAGAGGAAGAGGAGGAGGAGGGAGAAGAGGAAGAGGAGGAGGAAGAAGAAGAGGAGGAGGAGGAGGGAGAAGAAGAGGAGGAAGAAGAAGAGGAAGAAGAAGAGGAAGAAGAGGAGGAGAGAGAAGAGGAGGAGGAGGGAGAAGAAGAGGAGGAG